ATCTTTTAGTGAACACACAGCCGTCACCCAGTGTGCACTCATACTGCCCTCTAGTGGTTCAACATGTGCTCCAAATAAACTCCAGCACATCATAATTTTGCTGCTACACTGCTCTGTTTATCATTTCTCTAAAGCTACATACTGTAAACACACAGCTGTGAACAAATGTTTACATAATGAAAACAGTGCTTTGAATTTTTCTCATAATTCAAATGTGTCAAACGTTTACACATAAAACTTTTTACAACACAACTGTTGTATTTTGTTCCACTTACTCTTTTGTGTTGATGTAACTTGTGTATTGAGCTGCTGACAGGTTTCACTCCAGTAAGTTCTAAGCTGTGCTGATTCATTGTGAGTGTGTATGTGTGAGTGTGTGTGTGTGTGTGTGTGTGTGTGTGTGTGTGTGAGTGTGTGTGTGTGAGTGCCAGTGCATGTGAGTGTGTGTGTATGTGAGTGTGTGTGTGTGTGTGTGTGAGAGAGAGATCAGAGACTGATTTACACCCAGAACACAAACTGACTCTGACTCAATGTGTGACTGGACGCTCTGAACTGGGAACTGGTTCAGAACCAAATCACTGCAATTTATGTAATAAGATGCTCTTTTATCACCATCTATAAATAAATCCAATAAATTACTATAAAAACAGAATTGGCCAGTGTTGGACACCACCACAAGACCTTATTGATGAGGATGAAGGATGAGATGAAATGGTAACATTAACAAAAAAACTAATTGCATTCTGTCACACTACCTGTTTCCCTTGAGGTCCTCCCTATATTTGTGAACTCCAACTCCAATAATGCATCTGCTTCTGATGTCACAGTCACAAGCCCGCCATCAACCAATCGTCCAATCGTGGACAGTTACACAGATCCTCCTCTCCTGAATTCTAATCACACTCACCTGTTCTCATTAGTTCTGTTTGTACATATGCCGGTTCATTTTATTCCCTCATTGTGAAGTATTGCCAGTTGCCTTGGTTTGACTGTCTTCTGTGATATTTATATTTTGTATGTTTACTGTTACTAGTTGAGCACTGAGCTGGTTGTGTGTTGAACAGGCTGGTTTTAATGAAGTTCAGTGGTTTTCTGCTGTCTGTCTCCAGTTTGATGTCCAGAGGGTGAGGTTTCTTCACAAGGGGGAGCTATTAGTTCTGAAGTGGTTTTAATGTGTATCATTAGGAAGAGTTAAAATAGTATAATAGAAGCTGTTAAGATTATGATTTAAGGAACTTCAGTTTGATTATCTTGGTTGTGGATAAGCACAGGCAGAAGAGGACTGAGCGCTGTGGAAGAGCAGAACTTCACTATCAGTGACACTGTATTAACAGGACAAACCTCTATGAGTATGAGACTGGACCACTGTGTTAGAGTGAGGAATAACAGCAGCTAGCAAAACCATGCCACAGCACTTATATAAATATATATATGGTGATAAACACACCATGAAAGCTGACTGGTTACACGTTGCTGTGTGTCCCCTACATAGCATTCAGAGACCCGTGATCTCACGGCTGGTTAATCTGATATTGGTCAGGTTTAAATCTGGTTAATCAACATGTGTCCTGCTTATCTTTTGAAATGCCCTTTACAGAACAGCTTATCTTCACTGACTGCGGTGTTCATGCCTGCTCATATGTAATCTGAGGGTCATTGTCAGCCTCTGAACTGCACTCCTCTCTATTATTCTAAATGTGTGCAACATGTTTCAAAACAGTTGGGACAGGAGTGTGTTTACCACTTTTATTTCCTTTTAACTGCGTTCATTAATCATTTGGGAAGTGAGGACACCAATGTTTCAGAGTTTTCAGTGCCATTGGTACTAAAAAGCCTCAGATGAGCTTGAGTCCGAAGAAGCCGGCAGTGTTTTTGGATGTTGTTGATAAATCAGATAAACTAATAAGTTTCAGATTCCGTTCAGATTATTTAGGAAATACTACATATTAACTTTTCAAATTTGAAAAGCTTGATTTAAAATATGAAATTTAGCTAGAAACAGGATTAAATTTAACAAAATAATGACACTGTTCTTTGGCTTTGTCATTATAAAATAATCCAGCACTACATCTTTCCACAAGAAACATTCACAACTGATCAATCTGGATTTCCTCTAGATGAAATGATCAGAAACAGAGAACAAAAAGCTGTTGCTGGGCTAGAGATCACAAAAAGAGGAATTAGTGATAATAATGTATTATATTCTTATTTTCATGTAGGGTTTTGTAGAGTAGAATGCATGAGACTCTACCAAGGCAAGGCAGGTTATTTGAAACAAGACCCAGAAGTGCTGCTGCCTTCTCTGGGCCTGAGCTCATTTAAATTGATATGTTGTCTTTGTACTATTTTCAGGGTTTAAATGATTTGCACATCATTGCATTTTGTTTTTATTTACATGTTTCACAGCGTCCCAACTTTTTTGGAAATATAACAGACTGCAGGTGCCTTGGCCCCCAGCTTGTTTTGAAAGATTTCATGAATTTTATCACAACAATCCTGTGTGCTTCCTGATAAGATGACAGATGTGTATCCTACAGCTATTGTGTCATGGCTGAAGTGCTCTGTCAGGGGGAGAGCATGGCTGGGGTGGTTGAGCTGGAGGGCCGTGTTTAGGAGGTGGAGAAACTGTTGCTGTTTCTTAGATGAAAGCTTGATCTTGAATTTTAAACAGGAACACTGGACTGACAGGTTTGTGAGTACATACACATGAAGAATGCAGGAACTCTCAGTGAGGCAGAACAATAGGAAAAGAAAGGAGTGTTTATGAACTCTGATGGCTGTCACACATGCACATTCCACTTCTATTCCTTTGTCACATGTCTACCGAAGGAAATGACCTGTGGAATCATGTCTGAACTGGGCTTTAACCAGGTTATTAATATGCAGAAATGCAGCTATATTCACTGATAATACAGGCAATAATTAAATCTACTGGATGTAAATATTCATAAAGTAAACTCGGTCTCTAAACGTGCACAAGAACATTTACATATCGCAGCTGTCGGAACAAAACCTAGTTTCTCCAAAAAGGTAACTTTACAGGACAAATGAAAATGTTCTTAACTTTTAATGGAACTAAATACAAAAATATTTTTTCCAAGTAATTTTGCACCATTCTTTATGAAAATTTGACTCAACGTAAAGGGCAACTGCATTATTCAAATTATGTCAAAAATGAAAAATCATAATAATGCAGATACACAGTTTTGTCCTGACAGCAGTAATATTTATTTAGATTATGGAGAAAGTTTATTTTTAGTGTCTTTTTAGTCTTTCTAGACATTTTATAGCCTTTTTAGATTAAATAAACACTGAACAGACTCTCACTAAAATATTAACAACATATCAATGATGTAGCAGCAGTGAATACATTCAGTAGATTATCAACAGACTTTAACTGTGTAAAAAAAGTTTATAATTTGCTGAATTCAGTTGTTTTTCCACTTTATTTGGAGTTCAGATCTGTAGACGTTTAACTGAGAGGAACTGAACATTAACAGGTTTAATACAGACCATCAACATCCTCAACCAGCTGATACAGACACACTGACACCATCCTGGACCTGGATTAGGGTCAGAGTGACGGTTAGGATTAGGTTTTGGGTTGAGGTTAAGTTTAGGATTAAGATTAGGACCAGAGTGAGGGTTAGGATTAGGGTTTTGAGTTGAGGTTAAGGTTAGGATTAAGATTAGGGCCAGGGTGAGGGTTAGGATTAGGTTTTAGGTTGAGGTTAAGGTTAGGATTAAGATTAGGGCCAGGGTTAGGATTAGGTTTTGAGTTGAGGTTAAGGTTAGGATTAAGATTAGGGCCAGGGTGAGGTTTAGGATTAGGTTTTGGGTTATGGCTAAAGTTAGGGTTAGGATTAAGGCCAGGGTAAGGGTTGGGTAAGGTTAGTTTTTGGAAGTAACATTTTAACCACACATCTACTTAATGTAAGTAATGTATCAACAGAACATCTTTAAGATATTTATCTCAATGTATTCAGAGCTGCTCTCAAAGTTTAATCAGAGTTTTCACAGCTTTTTAATTATCAGATAAACTAATACATTCCAGATAGTGTCCAAATTCCATAAGAGACACTCTGCATGAGAACTCAGAGTTTAAATGTTTTGATTTATGAAGATGAATTTTAGCTGGTACTACTGGCACTTTGGGCCCAAATCTTATAGTAATAATAATGCTTTGGTTTATTCGCATGCATGTAATACAGAGCCATGTAACATTCAGACTCTGCATGTGCAGCACCCAGTGTATCAGTCACACTCGTCAGTTTTAAATAAGTTAATTGGCTCATCACCATCTCAGTCAGCATCACACAACGACTTAATACAGAATGCTTTTTACTGCAGGACACAAACAGAGGAGATGCTGTACAGTTTATCAGAGCCTCATTCACACAAAGCAATGTGACAGCACTGCAGTTTCTCTCCAACCAGCTGCACCAGCTGAGATATAGATAGATAGATAGATAGATAGATAGATAGATAGATAGATAGATAGAACTTTATAGATCCTGAAGAGAAATTGCAGTGTTACAGTAGCAAGAAATATAATTGCACATAAACTTACATATATTAGGCTGAACTAGAAATAGAATTAAAAATAGACACAAATTAGGCAGAAACAAAAAATAGACATAAGTTAAAGTGTAACAGAGTAGCAATAAATTTACAGATTTGTCATATTTACATGAGAGCAGGTATGAGGTAGTTACAACACAGTGAGTATAAGCATAACTATAGCAGTGTTTACAGTCTGACGTGTCAGTACAGTAGCAGTTATGATATATTGCAGTGTGTATTAACAAGAAAGGTGATACAGTGATGTAAATTCAGCTCAGTTCAGACAGCAGATGATAACAGAGCTTAATCCTCATTCAGTGTGGCTAGAAGCTCTGTAAACTGTCTGGTTTGAAGGCTCTCTTCTAGCTCCTCCCCCCAAATGCAGTCGACTGCCAAGGCACAGTTTGTCTTGAACTTATTTGCCCCGCGCATTCAGTCGCTGAGCAGTTCAGCTGTGTGACAGTCTGCTTTATTTCAGCTTCAGTTACTGAACCATAATATGGTACATATAATTAAAGTTAGTTGGGTTGTTTTGCTCTACGCAGCCTGTCCACTGACCAACTGCCAGTTTAGTTCATAGTTCAGGTTCAGTACAGCTGGTTTAGTTCAGATTCAGTTCCAGATTCAGAGCTGTGATATGGTTGAGACAGAGAAGTTTCCAGCATCGCTTTACTGCCTCCTGCTTCTGCTCTCTGGAGTCTCCTCTTACAGTAAGTCTTGAACATCTTACAACTAGACTTCTCACAGTCAACTACAGATAAACAACAAGAAATGTAACACTGTTTTTCTGCGCAAACTTGTTTTTGCAGTATTTATTTTACAATTTTGCCATAGTTTTCACCAAACATTATTCAAATTCAAAAGATAATTAGGAAATGCTATTTCTGTGGTGTTGCTTTTGCCATATAAATGCACAAAAGTAGTTCACAAAAATATTTAATGCAGACGAGACATGACTATAGTGGGTTAAGGCTGAGCTGATATCACCTGAAATTAAGAAACAAGCTGAGTTGGACAGGTCTGTGTATCCATTCGAGGGTCCTTACTGTTCAACCTTTATAAGCTACCACTGGGCCAAATCCTTAAAATACAATCAATTATCTTACTATAGCTACACAGACGCCCAGATCTGCGTACCTCTCTCGTCTGATGACTACAGTCCCATTGACCTTATGTGATTGTCTTGAGTCAATAAATGACCCGATGAAAGAAAGCTTTCTCCAACTAAATAAGTAAAGATAGAGATTGTATTTGGTAGTAAGAAGACTGGAGGTCAACACTTCTTTACTCCAGAGCTCTGAAATCCTGGCATAACAATCGACTGAGGTCTGAATTTCAGCAGCCATGTTAAAGCATTGCACTGCTGTGGGAGCTCCGGAGGCACAGCCATGCAAAGTCACCAAACAAAAAGGCTCTTGGGAGATTACACACTACGCTCATGGTAGTTGTTGTTGTCAGCTTAACACATGCAGCAGTGTCAGTGTGCTATTCTGTGTTGGGCTGTAGGATGGTTGGTGTTGGGGTGGGGTCTACCATTGAGTAGAACTGTATGGCTAGAAGTGACCTTCCCTGCTATCCCAGCTGCTTGGTTCTTCACTTGCTGCCTGTTCAATAAAAGAGCATTTGCCTTTGAAGCACAATGTTTCCTGCATTTTCTTCTTTATGGATGCCACAATACCCTGTCGATCTTTAGTATACAAACACAACAGGCCTCTCCGATCACTCGGGAGTTAGCAGAGCCCAGAATCGAAACCAAACAGGGTGAGGCAGCATTCAGTCATTATGCTGCCACTGCTGGAACAAACACTCAGATAATGCCAGATATGTGGCCGTCTTTAAGTCCAGTTTCAAAATGTTCTTGATTTTTTTGTGTCTTTGTTTAGCACTGCACTTTATCTTAGCGCTACAGTATTTAACTTCTTTTAATCCTTTAATTTGTTCTCTTTTTTATTGTATTTAATCTTTATCTTTTATTTTTTGTAACTATTTCTGCAATTGCCTTTCTGAGGTACTAGATCTCAGGACGCCATAGGCTTTATCATTCAATGCGTTTATTTTTCTGTGTTTGTGTGAAGCACATTGAATTGCTGCTGTGTAAGAAAGATGTTATACAAATAAACCTGCCTTGTTTTACTTTGAAAGACGATTTACAATACTAATTCCATCAAAAAATGAATTTCAGTAACATGATTTCAACAATATGTCTCTGTTTTACTGTATTAGTTCTCCTGGTAACTGTCATGTCCATGTCATTACACTGAGACTGCAGAGGGAACTGATTTACCTCGTCTCTCCAAAGTGTTTTAAGCTGAGTTGGACTAAATGTACTACAAGAACGTTAGTGTTGCGTCTCTGTTTTTCCATGTCACTCATAAAGTTTCAGACATGGAACCTGTTACTACACACACAGAACGGTGTGGAGCGGACAACCTTAGAAGACTGGTTTTGGGTGGGGCTGCGTGTTTGCATACGTGTGTTTGTTCTGTAAATATGTGCATTTTAGCATGTTATCTCTGTTGTATGGTATAAGAGCTGTAAAGTATGTAACACTTTATTTCATTGTATGATGGCTGTGTTATACTGCAGCCTGCTGTGTTGTATTCAGTTGTTTGACCTCTTAAGGGATCTGCAGGCCTACATGATGGCTGTGTTTGATAGATTGGCTGTTTTGAGTGTGTTTATCTTGTGAGGAATGTAAGAATGAGCATAAGAGAATGTTTCTGTCTGATTACGTTGGTATGTGTGCTGTATCAGTACGATGGTGTCAGTGTAGAAGCGAACTACACAACAGATCTGTAGGTACTCATGTCATCATTAGAAATGCTCAGTGTTTCCCAGAGCTTGAAAGCAGTCTCAACATTTATATCCACCCTCCTCCTGAGTGTAATTTGAAGTTTTTTTATGGACATTTTTATTCCAAAAGTGCAGTGAACATTTTTGGCATCTTGGTTTTAATAACAAATCTGTGTTCTTTAGTGGTGGACATTTTAAAGTAATTGTGCCTCCTTCCCCCTTGATGTCACTGTTAATTTTATCCTCTCTTTTTGTGCTGCAACAGTTTCATGTCTTGAAATTGCTTAGTGCTTAAAAGCATTAAATGCATTGGATATTTGTCAGTATATATCAAGATATAGGATGAGTCCAATAATTATGTGCCTGACATATTCTCTCTCTCTGTCCTGCAGCTGAGTTCGAGATCTCAGTGCCCAGCGGTGGTCAGGTCGGGGTTTATGGGCAGTCCGTGGTTCTGTCCTGCAGCTTTCCCACCGGAGGCTCCTGGGATGTGAGCAGCAGCGTGTTCATGTGGCAGCGTGGCCTGGAGGTGGTCCACAGCTTCTACCACAGCCATGACCAGCTGGACCAACAGCATCATCACTATGCCAACCGTACCAGACTGTACCACCAGGAGATGGCGAAGGGAAATGCATCACTCAGGCTGGACCGGGTCACCCTGGAGGATGATGGAATATACACCTGTTCGGTCAGCACACAGATCGGCAGCCAGAACAAAAGCTTCAGTCTGAAAGTAGCAGGTAAGGATGCTTTACAGTAGGGAAGATATACACTGTCCACTTTACTGGAGACCACCAATGGTTCACATAACGTACAGTACCCCAGTACTCTTCTGGGAAGGCTTTACACTAGATGTTGAACATTGCTGTGAGGATTTGATTGAGCATTAGTGAGGTCAGGTACTGATGTTGGATGGTCAGTTCTGGGTCACTCCAACTCCTCCCAAAGGTATTGGATGGAGCTCCATCAGTCCATTGCTGGGGTGCTTTATACCCCTCTAGCCCACACTTGGCATTGGGCATGGAGACCTTAGGCTCATGTGGAAGTGGAAGTGAAAATATCGGCTTATTATTCATTTACAAGGGTTTTTATATGGAGTATTACCAGGTGTTTTAATATTAGGTTCTTTTCTATAGCCTTCTACCCGGAGCCTCATCTGCACATCAACCTGTTGAGCAATGGGCAGGTGGACCTCCTGCTGACATCACAGGGAGGTTACCCCTCCCCATTGCTGCAATGGCTGATGGGAAACATGGAGGACATCACAGAAGAAACGCAAACACAGCTGGAGCAGGACCAACACACCAGGCTCTACAGCGTCAAGAGTAAGCTAAACCTCAAACGGGGCAGCAACTCCTCCATCACCTTCATCCTGAAGAACCAAGATCTGGGGCAGGAGATCAGACGGAACATCGACCTGTTCTTAGGTGAGATTAAAAATCCTCTTTGGTTAAGTTCCAAATATACACCTTTAAAATATACAGGCCAAAAACAGCTCCGTGGAGTGATGCTGTAGAACCACAGATGGTTATTTAAAAACAACATATTTGAGTGTGACTGTGAAGAACCTTTTTAAAGTTAAGAACATCTGCACAGTGTAAAGGTTCTATACAGGTTAAAGGTTTAAAATGAGGGCTCTGAGTAATGCCATAGAAGAACCACTTTTAGTTCCCCTAAGAACCATATTTGTGAGATGTGTGTGTGCATGTGTAAGAGGAACCTTCACATAATAAAAAGGTTCTATACCAATCTAGGGTTTTTTCATTAAACTGCCACTGAAAAGCTTTTTTAGACAAACAAAGTGGTTCTCCTGTAGCACCTTTATTTAAGCCAAGAACCATTTAGGAACATAGAAACAGATAAAAGGAACAGGAAGAGGAAAATAAAAATAGATAAACACTCACTGTTTCCTGGAGTTACAGTTACGGTACTCACAGACATTCAGTTAGATAATGAATCTTTAAATGATTATCGTATGTATCAGAACTCTCACATTTCACCACAGTTTGATTCAGCAGACGTTCGTTCTAGGTAACCATCAGGTGTAGAGTCCCTGTATTTCTTGAGACTTTAAAAAGGTCACACTCACATGTGGTTCTTTAAAGAACGCTTCTCTTCTTTTGGGAAGCATAAAGAGGATCTTCTATAGAGGAGGTCTACAGATCCGCTCTCCGGTCCTGGATTTTGTAATAACTGTTAGTAACTGTTGATGTAACTGATTGGCCACTTAGTGTCAAAACTACCAGTTATTACAAAACCCAGGACTGGAAACTGGATTCAGGGTCCAGATTTGAAGGCCTCTGCTCTACAGCGTCGCTCCAGAGCACTTTTTTTTCATCTTAATGTTTAGGAGTATGTGGTGCCAATAATGTCAGCACGGCTTATATGTTTCTTATATTTCCATTTCTAGAAGACGGAGCTGGTGGTCCACTATCAGGAGACAGGGGACATTATGTTCTCCTTGGAGCTCTGATCACTCTCCTCACAGCCGGCCTAGCAGTGTTAATTATCTTTTTCCTCAGACGACGGACACAGAAAAGCACAACAAAAACATTATTCAGAGCCGTCACCTCCGCTGACGAAGAGCAATCTATAAACCACCAAAATGGAAAACCACCGCATTGAGTTTGTTATTTTCTCGCCTTGGATGAAGAGACTGTATCACTGCAGTGTCATCACTGCTGACCAACGATGGACGTTTTGAGTGGAGATGGTGATCGGTCACTTGCACAGTCTGAAAGAAGCCATGCATCAAGTCCATTTTATACCGCACTGCTAACAGTCCTGGGTTACACATTTCATGTCTTTTTTGGTGTTTTCTGTGAGTGACATGCCAGAGATTTCCATCTAGAAGCGCTTTATAAAACCATCCTTCAGGGCTCCGTTGCTCAGTCAAGGTCCGTCAGTCCTGAACACCTTGTTTTCCTGCTGCAGCTGATGTAAGCTAGTCTAGTGCTCGTCAGTCTTTAGAGGAGTCAAACATTTGTTCAGAGCAGCAGTAAGATTTGATTGGCAGCTAAAGGATTTTCATTTGCTGCTCAAAGTGGAAGTTAATGACACATCAGTGCAGCCTGTATTAAAGTGTAAAATGATGCACATTTATGAGATTTCAGCAGAGAAAAGCGAAAGATGTTGTGTTTCCATCCACTACAGTAATGTGAAGAAACTTCAGATGGCGCCGGTGATTAGGAGCTGCGCTGAAACAAACAGGATGGAGAGATTTAACTTTGTTTCTGCTTCAGTAGAATCACCTTTACAGCCATTTGCCTTTTTATATTATATTTGATTTTTTTTGGATGTGTTACAATGACCCACTAATGAGGGCTGAAATCTCCCACCATTAAGTTGTCGAAAGTGACATTTGAAAAGCTCTGCGCTACAATCAGTCCGTCTGATTCAATATGAATAGGTTATTACAAAACCTATTCATATTGAATTATTCCAGTCTGTTGTTATCGCTGGCGATAGCTGATTTCTGAGGGTAAGAAAGCCTTTTTTCAGTGTTGCATTAATATAAACTGTTCAGTTACAGCAGATTTTACCTCCACTGTGTTTAAGGAGTGTCAGTTACATCCTGCCCTGATGTCCAAACCGTGTGAAATAGAAAGTGAGAGGGACGATCACTAAAGCTGCATCAGAGTGAAAGTCTAATAGACTTAGACTTAGACAGACTTTATTGTCACTCAAATTTACACCGTACAGTGCACATTAGAATGAAACTATGTTGCATAGGCTCAGAGTAGATCAGAAGAATTATAAATAATACAATGTAGTGCAATGTAGTGCAGAGTGTGGTGCATATGTAAACATATTTATGTCAACAGATAACTAAATTTTAAATAAGTATATATACAAGAGGGTGTATTGCACTGTAGCTCCCAGGTATGGAGTAATCAAAAAAGAATTGAAGCAGCATTTATTTAGAGTTCAGCAGTCTTATTGCATGTGGGAAGAAGCTGTTTTTGAACCTGGCTGTTCTGCTTCGAAGACTTCAGAACCTCTTTCCAGAGGCTAACAGCGAGAACAGTCCATGGTGGGGGTGGGAGGGGTCTCTGTTTATGATCTGAGCTCTGGTCAGACAGCGACTTGTTGCAATGTCCTGTATGGTAGGAAAGTGAAGTCCCAATAATTCTCTCTGCTGTCCTTACCACCCTCTGCAGAGACTTCCAGTCAGAGGTGCTGCAGGCTCCTGCCCAGACAGTGATGCAACTGGTCAGTATGCTCTCTACAGTGCCTCTGTAGAAGGTGGTGAGAATCGGAGGGGGGAGGTGTGCTCTTTTCATCCATCTCAGGAAGTGCATGCGCTGCTGGGCTCTTTTGACCAGAGCTTCAGTGTGAGTGGACCAGGTCAAAGTGTCCGTTATGTGTACCCCAGGAACTTGGTTTTACTAACTATCTCCACTGCTGTGTCCTTGGTGAGGAGTGGTGTGTGGTTGGGTTGGGTCCTCCTGAAGTCGACGATGATCTCTTTGGTTTTCTCGACATTCAGGACCAGGTTGTTGGTTTCGCACCAGTCAACCAAATGGTTCACCTCCTCTCTGTAGTCCAGGTCGATGTCGTCCTGAATTAGGCCCACTACTGTCGTGTCATCTGCGAACTTCACGATGTGGTTGGTAGTGGACCTGGCACAGCAGTCGTGGGTCATCAGGGTGAACAGCAGCGGGCTCAGGACGCAGCCCTGAGGGGAGCCGGTGCTCAAAGAGATGACACTGGAGACGTTGTTGCCCACCCGCACAGACTGAGGTCTATTTGATAGGAAGTCCAGCAGCCAGTTACACAGGTGGGTGCTGAAGCCAAGGGGGGCCAGTTTGCTTATCAGATGTTGTGGGATGATTGTGTTAAACGCTGAGCTGAAGTCCAGAAACAGCCTGCGCACATGTGTATTTCTTCCTTCCAGATGTTCTAAGCTCAGGTGAAGTGCAGAGGAGATGGCGTCCTCTGTGGAGCGATTTGGGTGGTAAGCAAACTGGTACGAGTCTAATGTGGGAGGGAGTTTGGAGGTGATGTGGTCCTTTACCAGCCTCTCGAAACACTTCATCATGATGGGGGTGCTACAGGGCGGTAATCACTGAGGGAGGAGATTGTGGGTTTTTTGGGCACTGGTATGATTGTGGCAGTCTTTAGGCATGATGGTATGACAGCCTGTTTCAGTGAGGTGTTAAAGATGTCTGTGAGAATCCCAGCCAGCTGATCAGAACATTCCTTCAGCAACCATCCTGGTATGTTGTCGGGGCCCAATCCTATCAGCTAATCCTGACTGTGTTGATGTTACTGGGAATTCTGTTATTACAGAGCTGTTTCACTGTATTAGTTTATTAACATGGACTAGAATGATTTCAGCACAGTGAGTGATTCTCTAACAGTGCATTATGGATATAGCATTTGATTATTTTATAACAGTGCTACAAATGTTTAAATATTTACTTCCTTTTACATTAAGAGGTAATTTTTACAGTTTGTTACCAAGTAGACACATTTAAAATAAAAACTGAATTCTAATCTTAACTTTGCACTTGTATTTTCTCTCTGTTATGAAAGAAGTCATGATAATTTCCAGACCTTTTATCATGGATTATGATGTTATCACCATATTGTATTAAGAAAAAATATACGATTACATATGAACATTAACACAATTTTCTAAATATTAATAACTAGTTGCATTTCATTTATTAAAACTCCTGATCCTGACCTTAATAAAGTACATGTATCTAACAGTAGGTACAGTCGTAAGCTCCTGTTCAAAATGCATGTTTTGTTAAAAAATAAGTGAACATGCTCTCTTAAAAAAGAGTAAAAACAATGCTACTATGTAGAACCATGAACACTGAAAGAATCGTTTCATGATTAATGGTTCTCTGTATGGTAAAATGGTTCTTCAGATTGATGGAGAATGTGCTGTATATGGCTCTATATAGAATCTTCTTGAAAATGGTTCTATATAGCACCAAAAAGGGTTCTTCTATCGTTAGAAGCTTGACATGGTAACAACAGCAGAACCATTTTTGATGCTAAAGGATTGTTCTGAATAAAAAAAAAAATGTTTTTTTCCTGTTGTGCTGGTCTGAGTGGATCAGAAACAGTAGAGCTGCTGAGGTTTTTAAACACCTGAGTGTCACTGCTGGACTGAGAATAGTCCACCAACCAAAAATATCCAGCCACCATCGTCCTGTGGGCAGCGTCCTGTGACCACTGACGAAGGACTAGAGATGACCAACACAAACTGTGCAGCAGCAGATGAGCTATCGTCTCTGACTTTACATCTACAAGGTGGACTGACAGGGTAGGAGTGTCTAATAGAGTGGACAGTGAGTGGACACAGTGTTTAAAACTCAAGCAGCACTGCTGTGTCTGATCCACTCAGACCAGCGCAACACACACTAAACACACCACCACCACGTCAGTGTTACTGCAGTGCTGGGAATGATCCACCACCCAAATAGTACCTGCTCTGTGAGGGTCCATGGGGGTCCTGACCACTGAAGAACAGGGTAAAAGGGGGCTAACAAAGTATCAGAGAAACAGATGGACTACAGTCTGTAACTGTAGAACTACAAAGTGCACCTATATAGTAAGTGGAGCTGATAAAATGGACAAAGGAGGTGGTCATAATGTTATGCCTGATCAGTGTGGTAATTACTAAATATTTACACCCTGTCCTAAGCAGGTGTAGGTGTTGGAGAAACCAACAGAAACCATATAGAGAGCACAACATAAACCAAAAATGTGACTTTTATGGGTAACTTAGCTAAAAACACTAAATGCTATGCGCTGTGGTTTCAATCCTGCTCTAATCATCACCCTGGATTAACTCCAAACATGAACACACACAGCTCAGCTCTGTGAGACGCTGCTGAAACGTTTGTACTGCTGCTGCTGTACCAGTTAGCTAGAAACCATCATTTAAAACAGCTGCATATTTGGTTATCTGAAGGAAATATTAAATAATAACAGATAATGGCTATAAGTGTTCAGTTTTATTCAGTTCAACTTGAACACATTTTTCTTGTCTATACTGGATATTTTATAAATAAAAATTTTATTTTCGGATTTGTGCCGCTTCAGTCTGGTAATGTGGAGGTAGCCTTAGGCCAATCATAGACAAATAAACACAGCCAGTGTACAGTAACTGTATAAACTGCATAGTAAAAAGTTGTTGATAGGATGTCAGCACATTAAGACATCTTCATTTAAACTTCATTTAATTTCTGTACCTATTTTGTATGAATTATGCTTTACTTCTACACATAGGAACATTTTCCCATGTGCTTACAGTAAGCAGTAAGAAAGAAAGGAAAATCTATGCACATAAGGAAAATGAGGAAACAGAGTCTTTAGGCTACAACTGTATTTACTCCAGCATTATTGTACCATTGTATTTACATATTAGCATTGTCAACAGATTTTTATAAAACAATATATGTATAGGTGCATGTTGTTTAATTATAAGTTCATTGTGATGTGTTGATCTGCTCTATTTTCTCTGCTTGATATGGATCTCACTACTACTTTGATAAATACATTAATGTGTATGTAAATATTACTTCAATAGGCACCTCTTTTGCCTGTTACTATTGCTGCTTCCATCAGCTCCAGTAGGATGGTTATGTCCCTGTGTTGTCTAGAAGGAGCACCAATGCAAACACTAGGACAGTGCACTACTGCACACACTGACATAAACAAACGTAGGGAACACTTAGTGAGAGTCAGTGTTCATAAGAGAGGAAATGAAGGGCGGTGACAGGAACAGAAGGCCAGAGAACCCAGGAAAGAAAAATAATACAAAAGATAAGAGTCCTCAGAGAAATGAGGAAGCTGGTAGTAGATGAGGGGGATGGGTATTGAAAAAATAGAGAAGTACAGAGAGGATAAGGGGTGATTTTCGTTTATGTAAAAGGCCCTTGTATACTTTTTGTGTTTGGATAGATTTTTGTTATTGTAAATAATTTTAAATATTTTTTTTGTTTATGGCTCTGTGTGCACAGACATAGTGATACTGTCCAGAATGAAAGGAGAAGGTTT